TTTCGCGTACAGTAAAAGTTGGCAAAAAGTCGCTCAATGATGTTGCAGGCAAAGTGGGCATGAAATGGCCTGAAATTTTTCACAGGTGTTTATTTTCACAGGTGTTTGTTTTTCACAGGTCTTTATTTTCACAGGTGTTTATTTTTCACAGGTGTTTATTTTCACAGGTGTTTATTTTTCACAGGTGTTTATTTTCACAGGTGTTTATTTTCACAGTTGTTTGTTTTCCACAGGTGTTTTTTTTCAAAGGTGTTTATTTTTCACATGTGTTTATTTTCACAGGTGTTTGTTTTTCACAGGTGTTTATTTTCACATGTGTTTGGTTTTCACTGGTGTTTATTTTCACATGTGTTTGTTTTTCACAGGTGTTTATTTTCAGTTGTTTGTTTTTCACAGGTGTTTATTTTCACATGTGTTTATTTTCAGAGGTGTTTATTTTCACAGGTGTTTGTTTTTCACAGGTGTTTGTTACAATCATACAAACGATGCCACAAAAGTGCACCTTGCAACTAATTTTTTTTTACTACTCCCTATTATAACGTAGTGCAGTACGACTCAAAGTGGTGGTCCACGGACCAGTGCCGGTACACGAACTATCAGCTACCGGTACGCAGGCTATGCTAAGGAAACATTAAGGTTATATAATTTTTGTTCTTGTCTTAATAAATTGCTTAATTTTTTTTAAAATTTACTTATTATATTTTTGATATTTAATTTTTTTTTGCAAAATAAATGGAAGTAGTCATTTGAATAAATGAAACAGTCAACTTTTATTATCGTCATTATATATATATCGTTTCCGGTATAAATTAATATTACCGCAAAATATTACAGGGACGTGACACATTGAGAAAAAAAAATGGCGGTCCGACATATCAGATGGTTTGAGAAGCATGACTTAGGGTGTATACGCGACATAGGTGAAGATCTATCTATACCAAATTGGCTTCAATCTGCGCACTTTTATCCCCGTTATTATAGCAACAGTCTCGATACTTATATTGTTATCAGACAATGCATATACCCGAAAAGCTGATATTTTAATGCATCTTTACGAATCGCGTGTAGATTATGAATTTTAAATGTTTTTTTTTTTTTTTACGTCAAAAGTGAAAATAAAAGAAAATGAAAAGCATTTTTATCACTTGATGCTCTTTTTATTTCCTGAAAGGTGAACATACAGTATAAAAAACCTAAAAAAAAAGGAAGATTTATAGAGATGGTGCTATAGCTGAGGGCAATGTTTATAAGTGGTTCTGGAAAATTTAAACTAGAAGACCGACAATGTACGGATAGCGTTCTAATGTTATATGGATCACAGATTTTTGAGATATCCGGAAGAGGCATGGTACGTGGAACTAGTCATTTGAATAAATGAAACAAACTTTTATTATCGTCATTATATATATATCGTTTCCGGTATAAATTAATATTACCGCAAAATATTACAGGGACGTGACACATTGAGAAAAAAAATGGCGGTCCAACATATCAGATGGTTTGAGAAGCATGACTTAGGGTGTATACGCGACATAGGTGAAGATCTATCTATACCAAATTGGCTTCAATCTGCGCACTTTATCCCCGTTATTATAGCAACAGTCTCGATACTTATATTGTTATCAGACAATGCATATACCCGAAAAGCTGATATTTTAATGCATCTTTACGAATCGCGTGTAGATTATGAATTTTAAATGTTTTTTTTCTTTTACGTCAAAAGTGAAAATAAAAGAAAATGAAAAGCATTTTTATCACTTGATGCTCTTTTATTTCCTGAAAGGTGAACATACAGTATAAAAACCTAAAAAAAAAAAAGGATATAGGTGCCGTTTATAGAGATGGTGCTATAGCTGAGGGCAATGTTTATAAGTGGTTCGGTAAGTGGAAAATTTAAACTAGAAGACCGACAATGTACGGATAGCGTTCTAATGTTATATGGATCACAGATTTTTGAGATATCCGGAAGAGGCATGGTACGTGGAACTAGAAAAATCTATCCCGGTGGACAAAATAAAGGGTTCGAAATTTCAATCAGTTGAAGAAGGCCGGAGCGTACAACAGTCGAAAAGTGGTGAATATGGCAAAAAAAAGATGAGGAAAACAGTTCGATATTGTAAATAGTTTATATGAGAGTAGAGTTTTATCCCTTGTTTCTGGTTTAGGATTGGGTCTCCAGTTCCTTCTCCAAAAGTCTTTTCATTCTCTTTCACTCTCAGTAACCCCTTGTTTCCTAGTGACAATATCGCTTTTCTTGGGTTGAAATGATTAAAATACCCCCCCCCCAATAAACAATTAGTTCTGAAACAAAGCACTTGAAAGGCAGTTTTTATCTTTGGGTCCTGCGTAAAATGAAGGTAGCCGCCTGTCGAGAACTTTCATCGTATTTTAAACGTATTGGTTTGGAGAAAAACGTTCGTTCGGTAAATTTTTGACTTAATAAGCGAACAAAATTTTGGCATATATCTTGCGTGTGTTTGTGTGCATACTGGTGCACCTGGGGTCTGCTTCAAATTCCATTGTGCACTGCGGGGTGATAAGGAGAATAAACAAATAATTAAATATTACTGCGTGTTTTAAAATAAAGTCTTTAATGAACCTTTTTTTTTTTTTATCTGATCAGCTTTCAAATCGCTGGAAAGTATTTGTCTGTTTTCTCTTTCGTCTGAAACAGTGATTTAAAAACAATACTATTTCGGGTTTAATTTATTGTGTCATTTTATTGACAAATGAAAAACAAACAAAAATAAGTCAGAAAACAAAAATAAAAACAAGAACAAAAAAAAAAACCCACGTCAGTTTAAGGAAGAAAGGAAGAGTGTCAATTCAATGTCGAATTTTAATAAATCGTCGCGTGACTTTATAGGTATCTATTGTCACTTTAATCATTCGTTGTTGAAAACGTCATCAGACGTTTAACACCCATTAGTCTCTGCGTCAACATCCAATATGTCTTGGCACGCTAAATACATACAGTATCTATCCGTTCATATCTATCTATCTATCTATCTATCTATGCCTTGTTATTTATCTATCAACATTCTTATCTGTCTTCTATCTATCTATCTATCTATCTATCTATTCTTATCTATCTATCTATCTATCTATCTATCTATCTATCTATCTATCTATCTATCTATGCCTTGTTATTTATCTATATCAACATTCTTATCTATCTATCTATCTATCTATCTATCTATCTATCTATCTATCTATCTATCTATCTATCTATCACAGCCTGCTCATCTATCTATCTATCTATCTATCTATCTATCTATCTATCTATCTATCTATCTATCACGGCCTGCTCATCTATCTATCACAGCCTGCTCATCTATCTATCACAGCCTTGTTATTTATCTATATAAACATTTTTATCTATCTATCTATCTATCTATCTATCTATCTATCTATCTATACCTTATTATTTATCGATATCAGCCTTCTTATATATCTATTCATTTTCTATCGATACCTCAGTTCATATCTATCTAAGCTTTGTTATTTATCTATATCAACCTTCTTATCTATCTATCTATCCCGCCATTTAAAAAAAAATGAATAAATAAATAAAATGTATAAATTGACGATTAAATATCAAATATGAAAATTTAAGAAATCCCATTTGTTTTTACCACGTTTCAGTATTCAGACAAAAATGCGTACAGTCAAATAATAGAGTAAAATGTCTTACTAGTAAGTCGATTTTCTTAAATATATTAAATTGTGCAGTATATATATATATATATATATATTACATCATAAAGAGGTAATTATACATAGAATTAATCAGCAATGTTAATATAATTAATGGCGAAATCCCTTCGCTAACAAGACTTAATAAGGCTTTAACTCACTAATAATCCATTGAATAACGCGATCATTGTTTTTAAATTGTTGTCAGATGTTGCTAGGCCGAATATTTTCGGAACAAAAATTTTCACTTGAAAATATTTAAATAATAACTGCAGGGTTGCAACACCGCACGTTCCAAAATTCATGCTGCTATTAAATAACATATTTTAAAAAGAAACATCTTTTGGTATACACTGTATTTATTTCGTCTTGGTGTTTATCAGGAATGGAAAAATTACGCACTGACGATGAAAATATGAAATTTTCGAAAATATTCGGCTTAGCAACATCAAATGTATCTGACGACAATCTAAACAAAATGATCGCGTTATTCAATGAATTATTAATAAGTTAATGCCTTATTAAATCTTGTTAGCGAAGAGATTTCACCATCAATTATATTAACATTATTAATTAATTCTTTTATAATTAACTCTTTATGTTGGCATACGGAAGGAATGTATATAAGTGACATGTCGGGTCCTAGGCGTGAAGGTCAGACCTTGTGGAACCAGGACATGCAGTTCGTCCGAGCACTTTCCACAGTAGTAGCAATAGAGTAGTGAGAGACTCGCTGCATCTCGCCTGTTATAGAGAGAGGTTGGAGCCTGAAAAAATAATTCTTCTCCAACAAGTCTCAGAGACGCTTTTGAATTCAAGACCGGCGACTATCAATTCAGGTCTGGGTAGCTCCTGCCCAAATATGGCAACAGTACTCCATTTTTGGGGCCTGATCTGGCTCTTATAAAGGTAGAAGATAGCATGAGGAGTCAAGAACTTCATGGGGCGATACAGAGAGCGACCATTTTTCCTGCATCTTTAGCGATGGATCGTATATAGGTCAGGTGTGAGTTTGAGGCCCAACATCCCCTGCGTCCTATGAATCGAAAATCGGTGACGGGAGTTGACTTCTCTTCTAATTATTAGATTGATCAGAAAGTCCTGACTCACTTAGGAAGGGGAAAGAAAACAATAAAATAAAATGGTAATTTTTATAACATCAACAAAATACAATACTCGCCAGCGGCGTAAAATAGGTAAACCACCACTAATGGTGCACTACTTAGACAGCCTATTACCCCTCCCCCACACACTTACAATAGTGTTTAACGTATTTATGAGGATTAGGACATGTCCATTAGTGTTCATAGGTACGGTATATAACAGAAAGAAAGATAAAGAAAGAAAAATAGAAAGAGAAAGGAAGAAAAAAAAGGAGAAAGAAAGAAAGAATGGAAGAGAGAGAGAGAGAGAGAGAGAGAGAGAGAGAGAGAGAGAGAGAGAGAGAGAGTCAGATTAAGCTGATAGGATACATATATTACACTTTGATCTTACCCAAAAGGGCGAGAACCTATGGTGACGGCAATAAAAGCGGCATTTTTCAGATGCCCATTTCTATGGATCTTTTATTGTCATAGAACTCACCAGGAGCTTATTCAATCATTAACTTAAGAATTAAGATTCATCAGAAAATTCAAATAAAAAAACAGTTAAACTTTCACGGTTCTTTCTTATATCATTTATAGTAGTAAGTAATTGACATTAGTGATATAACCATTTAAGTCAATGGAATTGTTATCTTATTTGCTTAATAAATCCTCTTTGTCACTAGTGACATAAAGATTTAGTCATTTAATAAAACTACTAATAAGAAAAATATTAGGTTGGCTGGAAAGTCTTGACTCACTTAGGCAGCAGAAAAAAAAATTATGGAGCAACACCAACATTTATTCTTCAAAATAAAGTCCATCATTCTCGGCGATCTTCTGCCAGCGATCAGCCAGCATCCAAATCTGTCCCAGATACCAGTCCGTTGGCTCTGAATAAAAAGAAATCTTTAATCGAGCTTCTTTCTCTTCATCAAAAGTTTGGAATCGCTGATCACAGAGGAAGTGTGCCACTGAGAGGAATTGGCCATAGTCACACGGAGCAGCACCGGGACTGAATGGTGGATGTGGAAGATTCTCAACACTGTCAATCTGCTTGAACTTCATCATCATCATCATCATCATCATCTTGCGGCCTCAGCCGAGATTGAACTCACTACACCTCTCCAGTATTCCCTATCTGTCATAGCACCTAAAAGATCTTCCTTAGGGACCAATGTGTCACGTTTTATCCTATCTGGAAAGGTTAACTTGCGTGATCGATTGACAGATGATGGGTGCCTCCAGAGTACAAATGATGACACAAGTTCATCTTTGGCACGTGCACAATGCCCGGCGAGCTGGACACGTCTCTTGCAAATTAAGGTTGATAATCTTGGCAAGTCACCATATATCATTTCTAGAGTTGGGTGGTTTCGCCATGAGAGATTAAGCACTCTTCTTAAAAGACGTATATAACATCCATCTAAACGACGCTGTTGTCAACCTGGTAGTGTGTGACCTCGCATTGTCTTGCTGAAAAAAAAGCCCGACCTCGATTGACTAAAGCAGGATACTTCTTCTTTAGTTTGTTGTACACGCGGTCTAGATGCTTAGTAATACAGTTTAGCGTTGATGGCGCGACCGTGTGGAACAAGATCGAAATCCAGCACTCCTTGCAAATTCCAACAGGCCGATATCAAGATTTGCGGTTTTTTCCGCTTCCTAAGTGAGTCAGGAATTTTTGACCAACCTAGTATTACATTCTAAGTAGTTACCATAAACTTGGTACTATTTCTAGGTCCGTAATGAATTTGTCATGGTTAGTCAGATTTTCATCCTGAAATATTTGCTATTTAGTAGGTAAAATAGGAGATAGTGAAGAGTAATTAAGAAAACGGTTCTGTTTTATCTTTGCGAACGTTTGCAAATATACGATCAAATATAACTAGATAAATATAGGGCTAAACATAAAATTCTCTTCTTTTAATATTTTCTGGGAAAATGTACTTCAAAATACAGTTCTTATTTTTACCAAATTCATGTGAATTTTTTTTTAAATCGGGACCATTTTTCATTATCAGGTGTATCATTTATTCTGATTCCTACCTTTCTCAAGGGCAATAATGGGAACAACGCAGATTAACTCAGATGGACTTTGAACTTTGCGGGGCATTTTTTTCTCGTGCCGATAACCGTTTTTCCATCAGCACCTCCCCTGATGCTTTCAGAAAATAAACAGAAATAAACATTTACATTGATGCCTACCATTCAGACGCTTCCAATATATGTATTGCGATATAAAAATATTTCCCTTTTTTCAGATGGTCCGAAAAAGTTTTAGCCCTAAATTAAAAAAAATGATGACTCTCAACTGATGTGCCGATACTTCGTTCATATGGGAAAACAGACAAAGTAATGTATCTATGTTTGCGAGGTTTAGTTTGGTTGTTTATGTTTGATAGCATATCAACACCTTGTAGAGGACCGACTGGGTTTGTGTGTTGTTGAATTAGGGACACGTGCTATCTATTCCTGCTAGAAGGTCCAACTACAAGAAAATGGCGGACTTGAATTAAGTCCAATTGAAGATGTAACGAAAACAAAGAAGACCGATATATATATATATGTCAACAAATATATGTATTAAACAAGAAATTTACATTTATGTTTGTGTGTGAACATTTGTGTTTGTGTGTGAACGTAAAGAGTTTTTATTTGGGTGAATGTTCGTACGTACGTGTATGTGTGTTTCATGGCGTTTTCCCACAAGTGGGCGAAAACGCAAATCTCTACGAGAGATCATATATTCAAATGAAAAAGAGAAAGAGGCAACATGTCAACCAGTATTTATAGTGTAGGGAGAACGACCTCTAGTGTCAATTAGAGAATTAAGAAGGAGCTAACTCCGACGACCTCTATGAACTGTAAATAATTTATATAAATGCAATTACAATTAAGAAAGGGGATTATTATCTGCTTTAATGACAAAATACGGATGTTATATGCATATTATAAATGCATTGATAATAATTTAACTACAGAATGCATGGATGATAATGTTACTGTAAAAATGCACTTTTAATGATTTTACTAAAAAAAATCATAATTTTATTAAAGAAATAGGTTGAAAATCTAGGAAAATGGATATTGTAAATTATCACAGAATTGAATATGCAGATACGACCTTTAATTTGTTGGTCGCAGCACTATAATCACCAAGCTTTATCGACAACTACTGGGAGGTGAACTGTTTCGAAATTTTCAAAATAGCTTTTCACTTCCGGTAATTACGAAAATGAAGGCAAAAACGGAAGTGAAGTTTTCTTCGGTGGAGATTGCGCAGTACTGACATCAGGGCGATTTGTTTTGCCTAGGTAAACGGCCGTAGCGAGTTTAATCAGTTCTATCAGGTTCCTTTGTAGCAGTCGTCGCTTGGCGGGAGAGAAACTTGGGTTTTAGCGTCAGCCGCCTGCCGACCATTCTTGATTTAGTTGTTATCATTTCCGCTTGCTGTCATAATTTATGGGCCCCTCGACTTGTCTTGACCGGATGTGAGGTGAAATAAAAGAAAGTGTAACACATAGAATCCGCTAGTTTCATTGTGAAGAAAATAAAAATGTGTTTGGGCGATTATTCCAGTAAAAACGATTAAAAAAGAAAGAAAGAAAAAACAAAGTAAAACCAAACATATAATATGAAGATGACGAAAAAATGTCGACTGACAAAGAAAGACATTAAGACTAGGTTGAATTAGTTTGATTAGTTTGACGAGATTTCAAAGCTTGTGTTATATCGAAACTATCTTTTTTTGTTTCCTATTTTAAAAAAAAATATATATTTGAGTCTATAAGCACTTGATTCGAAAACAGGTGAATATTGGTATCTGTCTATATTTCTGAAATGAGGTATTATGTACATTATTTACATTATTCGGACTATTGTCCTCATCTTTGTCGGCATATTTATTACAATGTTTTGGTCCTTCAGTATCTGTCTATATTTCTGAGATGAGGTATTATGTACACTATTTACATTATTCGGACTATTGCCCTCATCTTTGTTGCCATATGTATTACAATGTTTTGGTCCTTCAGTATCTGTCTATATTTCTGAGATGAGGTATTATGTACACTATTTACATTATTTGGACTATTGTCCTCATCTTTGTCGGCATATTTATTACAACATTTCAGACCTTCAGTATCTGTCTATATTTCTGAGATGAGGTATTATGTACATTATTTAGATTATTTGGACTATATCATTGGTAGCAGCTGAGTGTAATTTGTTTTTAATTTATTCAGCCATTTATACATAAATAATGTAAGAAAGCCGAAGCATACAACGACCTAAACGTTTCGGGTTTAACAATCAAAATAAGCATGCAGCTAAGAATAGCAAAGCGTATAATAATAATAATTCCTCGCAGAAATTCTGACATAAATAATGATAGAAGGTCGAAGAATACAACGGTCGAAACGGTATGGGTTTAAAAAACAAGATTAGTATACTGATAAGAATAGCAAAGCATATAATAATGCTAATTGTACATCTCAAATATTCCAGTATAAATAAACGAAAGAAGGCCGAAGAGTACAACGACCTGAACTCAAATTTAACCTACCAATATTTACCTGTTTACATTATTCAGACTATTGGCCTCATCATTGTTGCCATATTTATCACAACGTTTCGGCCGTCGTACGCTCCGGCCTTCTTCAGGTGGTTGGAATTTTGAACTGAAACCTTTATTTCGCTCGCTGGGGTAGACTGTTCTAGTTCCACGTGCCATGTTTGATGGATGTCAGTTATCAGTTTTCTCCTGTTAATTCACCTCTACTAGTTCTGGATATCTGTGGATATCCACTGTGCCATGTATCGTTAAGGACAGACGGCACAGTGGATAAAGGCGTTGGTTAGATCCAGTGACAGGACCCAAAGAGTTGTGAGTTCAATAACTGGTTAAGGCAGTGGAGAACTTGGAGAGGTGAATTAACAGGAGATAACTGACATCCATTAGACATGGCACGTGGAACTAGAACAGTCTACCCCAAGGGAGAGCTTAAGAGTCAATCCCTGATGCCTGAGTTATCCGAAACGTGCGATGCTAATGGAAGTGAACAATTTCATGAACAACCATTCGCCCTTGCATGGAGTATTGCTGCCATATATTGTCTGGAGCCCCTTCTGTTTGCCTCGGGCTTCTTGATAAGATCCAGAGACGGATATGCAATGCAATTGACCCTAATCTGACATCTCGTCTGCAGTCGCTCTCTCACAGACGCGCCGTCGCATCTCCCTGTCTTTATACAAATACTTTCATGGTAATTGCTCCGAGGAGCTGCTTTCGTTGGTTCCCAGACTTCATGAATTCAAGCGCCCTACGCTCTCACCCTTTCACTGTTGAAACTGCTAAGTGTAGCCGTCTCTTCTACTCCAATAGCTTCATATCTCGCACCTCTCGCCTGTGGAACTCCCTTCCATATTCCTGTTTCCCTGAGAGCTATAATCTCCAACTATTCAAATGTAATGTCAATAGATATCTCCAGTTGCCTTGATCTATCCACTATCCTTCTCCTCATCCTTTCCTCTATCACTCCTATCTGATCTCGCTCCAAATCCTCTGTAACCCCTTGCGTGCTAGTGGCTTCCAGCCTTACTTGGGGTGAAATTCTTAAAAAAACAAAAAAAAAAACAAAAAAAAACCCGCACGTACGCGTGCAGGGATCAACCTTTTGACCTTGTGTCAAACATAAGTTATTTTTGAAATGAGGATGAAAAATACGAAGCTGAATAAGAAAAAAATGATTTAATGAATAAAAAAGAGGTTGAAAAATGAAGAAAAAAAAAGAATGACGTATAAACGAATGAGAAGGAAATAGAAAAGAAAGAAAGAATTAATTTATGATAGAATGAAACAATAAAAATGAAAAAAAAAATAGTTTAAAGAAAGTATATTAAAAGAAAAAGAAGGAATGAAAGAATTTAATAGAAGAAAGAATGGCAGAATTATTTTTAAGGAATATGAGTGGAATGAGAATGAATGAATGAAAGAATTAAAGAATTAAAAAACGAAGAAGGAAGAATGAGTGTATAAAAGAATACGATCGGATTAAAATAGGAGGAAAAAGAGAATGTACGAATAAACGAAAGAAAGTGTATGAATGATTATGAAAGAAATAAAAAGGGAAGAAAATGATTGAATATATAAAAAAATAAGAAAGAAAGAATAACTGAATGAAGAGATGACTACGAAATGAAATAAAAAGAAAAAAAAGAAATAATGAATATAAAAAACCATGAATAAAAAAGAAAGAAAAATATATAAAGGATTGAAATAGAATAAAAAAAGAAAGAAAAAATGAATGCATAAAAGGCAGAATGTATAAAAATAATATAGAGTGAATCAAAGAATGAATGAATCATTAAAAGAACACGAATAGAATAAGATTGAAAGCATATGTAAACAAATATGAATGGAAAGTGAATGAAGGAAAGAAAACGCAAAGAAAGAAATAAGGCACAACTGAATATGAAGGAAATAAAAAAGAAAGACGGAAAAATGAATGCGTAAAAATATAAGAATGAAAAAACAAAACAAAACAAAAAAAAACAATGAAAAAATGGCTGAATAATGATGAAGGAAATTAATTATGAAAGAATACTAATTAGAATTAAAAAATGAAAAATAAAAAGATAATTTCTAAATGTACCAAGAATAAAAATGAAATAAGTTATAAATTAATGTTGATGGAAGAAAAATGATGAAGGAATTAATGCATAGACGAATGAAAATAAAAACAAACGGAAAAGAAAATTAAAGAAAGGATGAATATATAAATGAACGAGAATCGAATGAAAAAGTAAAGGGAAAAAGACTGAATGGGAAAACGAATAAAAATAAAACGAAAAAAAAAGAGAAACGTAAAGAAAAACTGAATGAATAAGAAAATGCAAATGAAATAAAAGAAAAAGAAAGTATCTATTGAGAATAGAATAAAAAAGAAAGGCTAGAAAAAAGAAATGAATCATGAAGGTATGCACGAAGGAGAATTGAATGAAAAAAAAAAAGAAAAAAAAGAGAGAATAAATTATAGGCAAAGGAGAATGGAATAATAATAAAATGGAAGTGAAAAATGGAAACTCAAAATGATCACTTGTCGTCTGATAATCGACTTGCTTTCTTGCCAACTAACAACAGTTTCCAATTGTCCATAAAGCTTAATCTCTCTCTTTCCCTCTCGCTCTCTCGATTTCCGATGAAGGGTTGGGTTAGAAAATTTCGACTAGCAGACGACCTCACACAGCACCAAGGTGAGTAAAAAGAAGCCGTTTGGAGCCGCTACTTCCCTAAAATTTGAAAGCCGTCCATTTTGAACCCCCATTACGTTGATGCGCAACCAAAATGCCGAGCGAGGCGCAGCTACATTTGCTCAACCAGTAAAGACGTTGACAATTTTAACCGATTCTTATAAAGGTTTGCACAGGATTATTCTGCTGGGAGACATCTTTGTTGGCTCAGGTTTTTTTCCTGATAAAAATTCTGTGATATAAAGTATTGCTGGCAAGGTACATAGCTTATCTAATAAAGACGTTCGAATGTTGATTAATCACGAGTGAAATAATGATCCAACGGACAGTACTTAGCTTATATAGTAAAGACTAAACTTTATTAGGTTATTCGGAAAGAAATGTCGCATTCTTGAAACGGACTGTAAAACCATTCAAATGTAAGAACACGTAAATCTATTTGTCAAGAATTTATATACAGGGTACGATGGATAAATTGTCGTCTAAATTACATAAAAATAACACTGAGATCTCATTTTAACAGATATATTTACTAATACTACACAAAAATCATCTTGAAATGCTAAAGAGTAAATTTATTCAATAAAATCGCAGTTGGTTTCAACCACGGCCTTCAGATGACTTTGAAATCTCTTGCAACTTTTCCGGATGGTCTCCTTGTTTAAGTTGGTAAATGTTGTCATAGTCCTTGCCCTCATTTCATCTTTGGTATTACAAGGAGTTTTGATGGTGTCTCGCTCAAATGCACCCCACATATAATAATCAAGGGGGTTGCAGTCTGGGGAGTTAGATGGTCAGATGTAAGGCGTGATGTGGTCGTAGAAATTGTCTGACTGCCATTGCTCTTATCAGAACGATCAATGAGTTTTCCGAGACGCCGTACCTTCGTAATCACTATTAGACTCATCCAACTCTTTCCGAATCCCCTGCACTGTCCTCAGATTGACGCCCAAACACTCTCAAATGTTCGAATTGCGGCTTCCGAAGTGAATGCCAAGCAGTACAGCATGCCGCTTCCAAATTTCTGGCAGAGTTAATTGCGTCATCGTGCCATTTTTCTCACAGATAGTGCCCAACTGACCCTACTATACTGAGCAGTCGACAAAATCGAAACAAACACTGCGCATGCAGCAAATTAAAAATATTAAATGGCGACAATTTACACATCGCATCCTGTACACACACACACACACACACACACACACACATATATATATATATATATATATATATATATGTATTACCCACGTAAGGTAGTAAAGCGACTAAAACACGAATTATAAGCTGTGGAAGAATTAGGAACAGATACTAAATTTATTCACACATCACGAGGTTAATAAATGTTAACTTTCGACCCTACAAGCACAAGAGATGCTCAAAATAGTGGCCTTTATCTTCCAGACATTTATTAGCACGATGAACTACTTCTTGGGCAACGTTGTGCAAAGTGTCCAGAAGGATTGTTGCACATAGATTTTCAATTTCTTGTCTAAGACCAGCCTATGTTGTTAGATTTTTGCGATAATTTAGACGCCCCCATAGGTAATAGTTTGCAGGTTTTAATCAGGAGAACTAGCCAGTGTCCTTGCAAATTCACATTCACGTAAGTTCACAAGTTTTTCTGGTAGTGTGGCCATGCGCCATCTTGTTGAAAAAAAATTCTTAGCTTTCATTAAGTTCAACTATTGCATTTATTATGTGTTGCAATTTGCTAAAATTACGAAAGACAAGTTTTCGCTTTCCTGAAGTATATATATATATATATATATATATATATATATATATATATATATATATATATATATTAACCGATTAAAAATATGGTTCCTTCGCTACACAGGAATTACTGTTTCAAAAAAGGAAACTAACAACGGTTTTCTGTTTTTGAAACATGGTAATTTTTGCGTAGCGAAGGAACCATATTTTTAAATTGGTTAATTCATAATATTCATGCTCTGTAAATTTATATTGAGCACTGCTTTTGTAAAAATAAAAATATCTATAAGAACACCAGATTATATATCTTACTGTTCTTTCTTTTTACTATATATATATATATATATATATATATATATATATATATATATATATATGAGACATGTTTCACTGAATAATTTAAACAAGTTTTGTCTACTTATTTTCAGTTGGGTACTTTCATATACACGAACAAGATTTTGGTGTCATTATTAAACGAAAAAGAAAATTACCGTGTTGATACATATTTTATTCCGAGTACTTTCGACATAGCACAATGTCATCATCAGAGTGTTGTTTATTTCAAGACAAATATTGTAGTATTCATCATTTTCAAAGACAAAATTGCTGTGTTCATTTGAAAGTTAAGTTTTTTTTTTACTTGTGAATTGAAGAATGCTGAGTTGAGTACACGTGATTGTCTTGAGTAACGTTTCAGGCGAATTAAGTTATGGTGTGGTCGAGAGATTTTTTAAGAAATAAGTATTAAAACTATTAGTACAAACCTCGATATTTTAAACTATCTACTGTAAAGATTTTAAAACATTTGTGCAGTATTCATAATTAATGATATTAAGGTTTGTTTTTATTTTATTAATATAGATAGCTTCAATAATTTTTAGTTTATATTTATTATTTTCATGAAAATGTATAGATGTATTTTCAACAATAATTTTTCTGAATCGGGAATGTAGACAGGTATGCTGTTGTAAATGTTTAGAAATCTTGAACATCATTCAAATGAAAATTCGGCCGCCGAGATAATGTGGTTGTAGTATGGCCAACATGAACATTATTTTTCCGTTGGAGATACAGAAGACATTTAAATTTATATACAATGTTGGTTTTCTGCAACACGTTAGTTGATTGGGAGGAATGATTGAATAAAATATACTAGATTTAGTGTAGTATATAACTGATTTTATTTTTTTTTTTACTACGGTCTGTTAGTATTTTTTGATTTTTAAGGATATTTTCGTCTTATTTATAATTAGAATATATTTAGTTGCTATATAAAGGATTAATATGTTTAGGATTATTGGAAGAAGTATTATATTCTATTTACTTTATATTAAAAATTTTAATAGAACATCTTATTTGTTCATCAGCAATATAATTGTTGTAACCTAGGGGAGGTTACTGAATAGAATAATCAAACGAAGGTTGGTAATGAACGATAATACTTAGGACAAGAACAACACGTATAAGATTTGCCAGCAGTGCGTAGAAGTAGTCAATTGCTAGTGAATTCCACAATGAATCTCCAACTGCAGGACATCCACCAACCGCCCCACGCGATCAGATGTGACACAAAGTCGAATATAATTAATATAATGTATCCTAGCCATAGGCTTGGTCAGAAATTCCACGTAGACATTGTATAAAACGGGGTCGAGTAGCTGTTTCCTGAGATGAGAATCTGCCCTTCGGCATAGCCTCGTCTATGGATCCTCTCTGCAAAGAGGCAGAGTTTGACCAGCACAGTTGGAGACATATCTCCAATTGCAGGATATCTATTAACCACCCAACGCGGTCAGATGTGACACAAGGCCGAATTTAATTAATGTAATATATCCGAGCCATAGGCTCGGTCAAAAATTCCACGTAGACACCGTATAAAACGGGGTTGGGTAGCTGTTTCCCGAGACCAGACTCTGCTCTTCGACATAGCCTCGTCCGTGGATCCTCTTTGCCCGGAGGCTGAGAGTTTGACCAGCACAGCTGGAGACTATTCTCCGAGTGCAGATCAACATACAGTATTTACTACTGTATTTATGTGAATGGGGACATACACATTATCGTCCGTAGGTACGCTACAAAAATAATTAGGGAAGTTATTATTAATAAAAGCTTGATTTATATAATTTAGTTCGCTGTAGAAAATCTGTTTTATTGATGAATTAATTTTTGTAAGGTTTATTTGATATTTTATAATTGTTATTTCATAGTAATTAGGACATTCACTCTTATAGTTAAGGATGCACGAATTTATGCTGGTAGGTTTGTATATGAAGAGATAATGAATTTATTGTTATTAGTGATTATCAATATATCTAGAAAAGGAATTCTATTGCTATTTTTAAGTTCGTATGTAAATTTAAGGACAGAATTATTTTGGAATTATATTTCTTCCGTATTCTTGACTAATGTAAGGATATTATCGACGTATTTTTAAGTTGCTAAATATATTATTTTCCAACGTATAAAATTTGCTAAAAGTCGGGCCCAAAAGTGAACCCATAGAGACGCCATCCCGTTGTATACATACACACAAACACACACACATTTATATATATATATATATATATATATATATATATATATAGTCTTAAGATATGCTATATTTATGCGATAAAGTGCTCAATATCAGGGATATAGCGTGTGTAAATATAAAAGTGAACATAAAAGTCTGTTTCATGCTAGATGCAATCGTCAGGCCACCCTGTCGTCTCTAGTGTTGACTTCTATGTTCACTTTTATATATATTGTTGGGGCGCACCCACCTTCTGACTGATAATGGACTTATCCCTCTACGATATAAGTCAGTGCTAGAGAGAGTAGGGGTGTAGTGTGAAGGATCAGGCTACCATTACATACCGTTGGACTGTAGACTTTTGCTATTGTTACTTACTAACCGGTGTTCCTTATTACTAATCACTCTGTTGTTAATTACCTCTTACAAATATACCAGTATTTATCCCTACAACGGTGTTTGTCTTTATTCAAATACACACACGCGGGAACAC